TTGTGTGATCATCAATGGAGGTTGATCATTTGAATGTACTAACTGATTAAATAAAATGATTTTAAAATAGATTAATTTTATAATAGTTTTTACCTTAACATGCATTTTTCTAACAGTATAATCTGTTAGTACTTGCTCATCACTTAATGTTACACTGAATGGTCCATAATCCTTTGTATCTGAATCAGGCCAATACTGTTGACACTTCATTTTTCCTTCCTCTATGATATTAGTAATCATGACAATGATAGCTGACCTTTCCTGCCAAATTAACCGCCAAAAATCAACAAGTGTATTTGATACAGGCCCTATTGAGTAATAAGATTCAAATTTTGCTAAAATTTTCCTGATACTATAAAATTTTGATGACATTATTAGGTGAATACCAGCAAAAGTATTGTTTACAACTTATAAATATAAAGCAGAAAATATATCATAGCTAATACATATCATTTAAGTCTGACTATTAGTAGTTTATGATTCCTTGTTATTAAAAGTGATGATGAATTACATGTATGCCTTTCAGTCTATTAAGACTTTTAGCTTGTGATAAACAATGTATGGGAAATAGTAGCTTGTTTACCTTGTGTTGCTATATACTGATATTGATTAGAGTAATCCTAATGTCAAAACAAATTCATCACAAACTAACAACATCTTAATATGCACTAATATATTATGATATTAAACTATGTATGTCATGATAAAACGTGATATTCATTCACTTACCTTAATGTAGCATGCATTGATATACTCATTTGTACAATCCTTATGGCCTGACATCGGTCTTAGTGTGATACGGTTATCATCATCTGTATCAGATAATAATTATGAGTCTTAATGAATGAATTTAACCATTAGCTAATGTACATGAGTGAATAACAGTTAATGGGATAGCTTTGCAGTACTGTGTATATCAAAGCTCATTTGACAATAGTAGCCAATATTCTCAACAATAACAGTAATGCGTTATACAAATGATTGTATATACAGTAAGTGTATCTTTCAATGACAATGTTGTTTTAGTGGTAACTTACAGACTACAATGTTTGCAAAGCGATTCAACAGTTTATTGCTTGGAGTAAGACCAACTGTCACTGTGTGGTCACTTTCACCACTGTCCAACATCTATTAACAAAAATAACATAAGAGTTATAGAATCATGATTGAAACAAGAAATATGAGACAAATATAAAAAGAAATAAAGATAAACATTTTACCCCAAATTGATTTCTAAATCCCTCGTTTCCTTTAGCGTGTCCTTTAGCTACAAATTCTCCAAATTTATCAACAGGAATCATACCAATCTTAGCACTGGATGAGTCACCATGTAACAATCTGCTCTCATCACTTCCCTCCACTGCAACTGTTAGTACAACTTGTTGACTAACTGTTCCAGCATCATTATTAGCAACAAAACGATATGTTCCTTTATGCTTCTTCTCAACACTCACTAGCAGTAGACTACCATCTCCTCTCAGCTCATGAGCATAATCATCAGTCACTGGCTCTCCATTATGATACCAATTAAAAGATGGTTTTGAATTTCCCCTAACTTTAACTTTAACTTTGAAAAGAACTTGACGACCTTCTTCAGATGTCATATCATTAGGGAATTCTTCTATCACTGGTGGTATAGGCTCCTTTACAGTACTGTAGGTTGCCTCTTGAATATCATCTACTATATATGATAATTAAAATAGTGCATCTATGTTATACAACATTGTTAATAAAGGCGAACTTACATCCGATTTCATGTACTTCATTGTTATTATCATATGTACTATAACTTGATACACCAAGTTCAGTAGCTGTTCCTTTATCAGTACTATCTTTAATAGCTATATTGTATTTCTTTTTAATTCTCTTCTTCCTGTTACCATCAATAAGTATTGTTCACATAAGGCACACTTACTTTGAAATCAGGACAACAACAATGATAATTACAATTATTATGACTATCAGTAGTAATGATAGAATAGCTCCAGCTGCTATGTAAATAGTCATTGAACTTTCATCAGTAGTAGGCAACATAGGAGTACCTATAAAACATAAAGATTCATTCCAGTAATACTAATTATCAATAACAAAATTATCATGCAACATTACTTGATTTTGACACTGACAAGACAATGAATGTGGTCATACTTGGTACTATACTTGTCATTGACGCACTACCTATGGTATACCATGATTTTCATGTGATCGAGTGACAGACGTATCAGTGGCTAACCTGTTGTTTGTTTCATAGTCACACTTGGCATTATACTTGTCATTGAAGTACCTACAGTGTGACTATCATGCAATTAATGTACTGGTGGCTCAATTACTTATTGTTTGTATCACAGTTATACTTGGCACTAAATCTATATGTGACATAACTGTCAATAAAAAACAGCAGAGTGATTATTTATGCTACCACAGGCTTACTTGAAGTGTCCACAGCTGAAGTGCCTGATATTACAGTAAAAGTTACAATAATACCTATAAAACAAACAAAGACTAAAAGTACTAAATACACTGTCTTACTTGTTGATAATCCTGTAACAGTAATGATTGATAAAGTGCTTGATACAATAGTAGGATTTAGAGTAACACTTAAATAAGGTGAATTAGAACTAGAAATACTAGTAATTGCTAGAGTACCTGTACAATATGACTATTGTGTGTTTGATAATCACTAGTTACTTACTTGAAGTTTGCGAAGTTGATACTATTGAAGTACTTGATACTACAGTAGAGGTTGGAGTGACAACTAATTACATGCAATTATTGTACAGTAGTAAATTATTTCACATGTACCTGGTGGTATTGGTTGAGTCCTCTCTCCTTCATAAATGATTCCATTAACATTAAATGATGTAGATATAGAGAACAAGTAGTTCAGATTAGGATCTAATCCTCCTATTAGACCTTCAGTAGTACCACCTGGGAATACTCTCATTCCTGTCTTTACTTGTCTCTTCTTTCTTGAGGAGCTACTGGTTGACTCATAATAGACAGTATAATGACTAGCTCCAGAAACAAAGCTCCACTCAGCCCTCACTGCTGTAGAATTGAGCTTTGTTATAAAAAAGGTTTTAATAACAGCTAAAAAATTTAAAACACTATCATCATAGTATTCTCAGTAATTTCTTACGTATTGGAATAGTAGTGTATTCTCTATCAGTCCATTCTCCTGGTCCAATACTAGTATATGCTCTCACTCCAATAGTATAACTAGTATTAGGTATCAATCCTACTATACTGTAATAAGTGTTAGTAGTGTTAGTTATATTGTATGGACCAGTACTGGTAGATTCTCTATATCTTATCTCATATACTGTAATGATACCATTAGGTATTGTAGGAGGATTCCATACAATAATTATTTCAGTTGGTGGCGTTGAATGGCTTAGATCAGAAATCACACCAGGAACTGTGTTAAGATCATGTTAAACTGATCAATATCTCATTGACTTACTTGATTTGGGAGTTAATTCTATTTCTTGTCTAGCTGGTCCAGTCATATTATAATTATAAGGTATTATACTCACAGTATAGTTAGTATATGGTATTAATCCTGTGAGATTATACATTCTGTTCTCTCCTCCAGTGATATTAACAGTATAACTAGTGTTTGAAGTGATGTTAGTGTATGTGAGGTAGTATCCAGTGATTGGTCCATTCCTTCCATTGCAAGGTACTTCATCCCATGAGACAGTCATTGACACTGACTCTACTGATGAGAATATAATATCATCCACTGGTGCAGTAGGGGCTATAGAAAAAAATAATTTTGTATTTATTAGCAGAGTATATATATTACCAGTTGAAAGTGTTTGAGCTGAATAATCTGTACTCAAACCAACTGTAACGTCATATACTCCAATAAGATCAAAGTCACATTGACTGTAAGAAGGTATACCAGTTGAAGTATGTGGTGATGAAACTGATGTTTCATTAGTACTAGTGACTGATGATTCACATACTCTCCTACATCTCCTATTAATATTATAACTAATTGGTACTACAGCAGTTGGTGGACTCCATGTTAATGTAATTGAAGTAGCTGTATTTAATGTAGTCAATAAATCATTAACTACTGGATCACCTAAAAGAATAAACTACTGATATTTTATTAATACAATCAAGAGTATAGGTTTTATGTACCCTTGATACAATAACTCACTAATTGTTAACATAACTGAAGCATTATCACTAGGTAGAGAAGCTGATCCATAAGATACTACATAGTAAGTGTATGTACTTCCTTGAACCAATCCTGATATTATATTGATTGCTGTATAACTAGTGTTGGATACACTAACAGGAGTATTACCAGACAGTTGATAGTAGACCTCATAACCAGTAGCTCCTGAT